CAGCCCTGGAACTCGTGGGATCGTTCTACTGTTTATGGGTCGGCCTCCTACAGGGATCCGCGCAGCCGCCAGCTCGTTTACCGCAGTTGTCAGACGTGTCGCATACAGGCAGCCTCGAGCGGTAAAACCCAGCGCCCCTGGATTCCAGAACCGCCACCTCTCCCTTGAAGTGAGGCACAGAACACCGTTAACCAGTGGGTGTAATAAGCCTGCAGGAGCCCCTGGCTGGTAACACAGAGTGGTGTCCACACACATTGACCAGTTAATTACAACATGGCCAGTCAGCCGAGCCTGCCATCTGTTTGTGATGGGAGAATAGGACACACTGTAATGAGATTGACTCACTGCTGCGACGCCTCCTACTGGTCACACCAGGAATTAGAACATAAGAACATAAGAATGGCCATACTGGGTCAGACCAAAGGTCCATCCAGCCCAGTACCCTGTCTGCCGACAGTGCCCAATGCCAGGTGCCCCAGAGGGAGTGAATCGAACAGGCAATGATCAAGCGATCTCTCTCCTGCCATCCATCTCCACCCTCTGACAAACAGAAGCTAGGGACACCATTCCTTACCCATCCTGGCTAATAGCCATTAATGGACTTAACCTCCATGAATTTATCTAGTTCTCTTTTAAACCCTGTTCTAGTCCTAGACTTCACAACCTCCTCAGGCAAGGAGTTCCACAGGTTGACTATGCGCTGTGTGAAGAAGAACTTCCTTTTATTTGTTTTAAACCTCCTGCCCATTAGTACTAAGCTCATGTACTAAGCTCCAGAGGTTCCAGATTCAATTTGTCAGCATTACATCAGCTTCTAGCAATCAGAGGCTAGGGACCCCATCCTTGCTCATCCTGACTAATAAGCATTGATGGACCTATCCTCCATGAACTTATGTAGTTCTTTTTAGAACCCTATTATAGTCCTGGCTTTCACAACATCCTCTGGCAAGGAGTTCCACAGTTTCTGCACCTTAGCAAGAAGCAAATCTACCTACAGCATATGCATGCACATAGAACCTACTACAATAGGGCCCTGATATAGCTGATCTGGGAGCAATAGTGGATCATAAGTGAAATATGAGTCAACAGTGTAAAACTGTTGCAAACAAAGCAAACATCATGTTGGGATGTATTAGCAGAAGTGCTGTAAGTAAGACACAAGAAGTAATTCTTCCACTCTCCCCCATGCTGATGAGGCCTCAACTGGAGTATTGTGTCCAGTTCTGGGGGGCACATTTCAGGAAAGACGTGGACAAATTGGAGAAGGTCTAGAGAAGACCAACAAAAATGATTAAAGGTCAAGAAAACATGACCTCGGAGGAAACTTTGAAAAAACTGGGCTTGTTAAGTCTGGAGAAGAGAAGACTGAGAAATGGCATGATAATGATTTTCCGAGCACATAAAAGGTCATTACAAGAAGAAGGGAGAAAAATTGTTCTTGTTAATCTCCGACAATAGGACAAGAAGCAATGGATGTAAATGGCAGCAAAGGCAAGTTAGGTTGGAAATCAGGAAAATCTTCCTGTCAGGGCAGTTGAACAGTGGAATAAATTGCCTAGGGAGGTTGTGGGATCTCCCTCTTTGGAGATTTTTAACAGCAGGATAGGCAAATCCCTGTCAGGGATGGTCTAGATAGGGGGTTGGCAATTTATGACTCATGATCCAGAGTCGCACACCCAACAAGGCTGGAGCCAGCCCCAGCTTCCTGTGGGGTTGGGGGGATGCTCCGAGGCTCCACGCCAGATCTGGCTTGCGGGGTAGCATGCGCGCACTGCTCCTCCCCTCCCCAGAGCAATGCGTGCGCTTCCTTATCCACCCTACCTTCCCCCGTGCTCCGGGGAGGCAGGACACTGGAACTGCATGGCCTCCCCCCTGCCTGGTGATCAGCTGAACGACTGCATCTGGCTGTCCTGGAGGTGGTGTGGGTGCACATTGAGCGTGCAGGGACTGGGTGGCACCTACTTGCTTTTTGCACCTGCGCTGCTCTCAGGCCATAAATAAAGACAATGCTGAAACCTTTTGTGTTGGAACCCCAGAAGTGTTAATCTGGCCTGAGACCTTGAACCTCCGTCCTGCCTATCCTACCCCCCACCATGGGGCTGGAGAACTCGGGGAGTCAGGTGTCTCAGTTGGGGGCCACATCAGTGAGGGTCGGAGGTTTCTGGAGCGGTTGTTTTTTTGCTTCTCACTTGTGCGGTCCTGGCTGCTTTTCCTGTGGGACAGTGACCCAAAAAAGGTTCCCCACCCCTGCCATAAAGAAAGAGAATGCTGCAACTTTTTGTGCTGGACATCATATTTTACTTTATTTAAAAATGAAGCCTGGCCAACAAGCCCCCAACTGGCTGCATCATAATAACACTTCTGTACTCCCCGCACCTCAGCCCCAAGCCCATCATACACCTGAATCCCCTACCCTGATCCCCTCTAACCCCTACATCCCCATACTCTTGCAACCCCAAATCCTCTGCTATAACACTCCTGCATCCCCATATCCCCAGACCCCTGCCATAACACTCCTGTACCCCCCCCCCCCACACACACACCCCAGACCTGTGCCCTGAGCCCATCATAAATCCAACCCCGCCTGACCTGGGCCCCTCATACTCCCACAACCCCAAACTCTTGCACCCTCACATCCCCAAACTCCTGCACCCCCACATCCCCAGCCCCCTGCCATAAGACTCCTACACCACCCCCAGACCTGTGCTCTGAGCCCATCATACACCCAAACCCTCTGCTCTGAGCCCCCATACACCCCAATCCAGACTCCTGCACCCCCATATCCCCAGCCCCTGCCATAAGATTGACAGAAGACAATCTGAATGCCTGCATGTAGGTGGATTTGACCGGTTATGATATAAACTTCAAAGAAATGTGCAAAAAGATGCAGCAGCGGAAGTCCCATTAAATAAAGTCTGTGAGTACAATGTTTCATTTATGCTATTATTAATCATGATGTCAGTTATGAGTAATACTACATTGTATATTTCCAGTCATGCAAATGGGCTTTCTGACATGGCTCTTTATTGACCACCTGTTCCGAATTTTGATGTAGTTTGGCTCTTTGGTTTGAAAAGGTTGCCACAATGCGGTGTCCCGTAAGAGGTGTCGTTTTCCCATGGAAGGAGCGCCCTAGTCCCCCGACCCATGGAGAGCAGGAGGGGTTCTTCCCTCCCTGAACAGCAAGCTAGGACTGACTGGCACAACAGTCAGCCAGAACTGCACCCAGCAGACCCTAATGCGCCTCATATCAAGGCCCATTTATGATGCTGTGGAAGCATAAAATGAGTGGAAACAGCCCCCTCCCCATCCCACTCAGGTTCCCTGTCATTTTTTCCCCACCCATGTGTGGAATACATTTTGTTATGTGCACCAAGGCATGTGTGAATGTGCAGAAACACCTGCTAGGGCTGCTCTGCTAATCAGCTGGGCGGCATTTGAATCTCTCCTGAGTGGCCACCCAAACACTCAGCTTACAAGGAACACTACACCCCAGTAAGTCCCCCCCTCCTTCCTGGTCACTAGCCCTGCTCTCAGGCTCCCAGTAGGGCGGGGGAGAGATCGTGTGTGTGCAGCAGTGTGCTGCTTTACAGCAATGTTCTGCTTCCCATGGCCTTATGGGGCTACAGGAGGGGAAGGGAGAGTTAGAATAGCCCTTGGGGTGCTCTATGTTAAGGCCCTTTATAGTTCCCAAGTACAGAGAGTACAATGGTGACCTAAAGCCACCGTAACCCCAAGCAGAGGAACAATGCTGGAGACCCTGGTGCTGCAAATGGTTGCTTCCCAAGGGCTCCTGCACATAAGTGATTCCGTTTCCACGTCAGTTTCATCCATCTGTCAGTTTCATGTTGAGTTTCCCCTGAAAAACCACCCATGGCTCCAGGCTGGCCCAAGAACCAGCAGAAGATCTGGGAGCAGCAAACCCTTCCAGTCTCAGCTGGAATGTGAGTTAAGGCTGCCCCCCTCCCCCCGAACTAGCACTCCCCCTTTGCTCATGACGGTGCGGTCTCTGCACAAACTCCCCACAGAGCCTACTGTCAGTTTCATGTTGAGTTTCCCCTGAAAAACCACCCATGGCTCCAGGCTGGCCCAAGAACCAGCAGAAGATCTGGGAGCAGCAAACCCTTCCAGTCTCAGCTGGAATGTGAGTTAAGGCTGCCCCCCTCCCCCCGAACTAGCACTCCCCCTTTGCTCATGACGGTGCGGTCTCTGCACAAACTCCCCACAGAGCCTAGCTAAATCCCCCCCCCCCCCAGAACCAGGGCGGGGAAAA